GATGGACTGCAGACTCTGAGCGTCTCGGATGAAGAAAAGGTTGGGTTGGTGTCAGACTCCGGGTGGGCGATGCGCGATGCTTCTACCGCACCGCCCGCCGCTCCATGGAACGCGCAATTTAGCTCGATGCCACACGGACCTCGCCAGTCGAACGCCAACATCCTGCCGAGCACACCATGGCAGGCAGAACAGACAGGAGAACGCAATGGAAAACGCGATGCACATGCGATAATTGACTGCCAGCAGCGACAGCTAGATATCCAGAGCACAAATGCGGCTAGCGTGACTGGGGGCCGTGCGCCCTCCTCCTCTTGGGAGTGTCGGAATACAATGAGAAAACGTTAGCGACGATTCCCGCCCAATATGATCTGGGAAACCGACCACCCCAGCTGGGCCGGCGAAGCCCTTTCTTTGCCCTCGCGGCAACCTTCGTCACCACCCACTCTCCCTGCCACTCCTCCTCTGCATCTCTCCACGCTCTGCTTGCATCGACGCGCTTCATCAGCTCGACGATACCTCGACTTCCTGTGAAGCACGGCTCACCCAGCTTGCTGCTCACCCTAGCCACCGACACGCCAACGCGCTGACCGGCAGAGCCACTGTCTTCTCTCCTCACCGCTGCAGGCCAAACCATCACCACCACCATCTCTGCTGCCCTCCACATCAGCCATCTCCGTCCATCATCGCCGCGTTCCTCTGCACGCGAACATGACCACGAAATCACCAAAGACCCTCGTCGTCGCACTCAAGCTGTCACCGGATTCTCTGCGAGACTTTCCACACGAGCCTGCAACGCCGCCCAAGGAAGAGGCCAAGCCCTCTCCACCAACACCCGCGCCGCAGATTAACGAGCCCTCACCTGCTGCCACGCCCGCCGACTCAACCCCCAACATGAACGGAAGCACACCGTCGTCGCTGGCGCCCCCCTCTTCGAAGAGGAAGGGCCCCAAGCCCGGCAGCAAGCGGAGTGCTGCGCAGATGGAAGCTGGCGCGAATGGCGCAGGCGCAACCCCCAAACCATCCAAGGCCAAGCCAGGGCCAAAGAGGAAGAAGATGGGCGACATGATCAACGACCCCAACTCCAAGGGGCCCTTCCCAGCACCCGCAGCCATCAACAAGGCAGGCCCCAAGGCAAACCTGGGAGCCATCAACGAGCGTCTGCGCGCCCTCGACAGGTCAGGGGCCAAGTGCCGTCGCTGGGAGAAGAAGGGATTCCAGGTCCGCAGCTTCACCGGCGTCATGTGGCAAGTGCCTACATACCAGCCCGGCCGCAAGGGCGCCTTCGCCGACGACGTCAAGAGCGACAGCACCGGCACCAGCGACTCCAAACTGAAGGACGAGAGCAGCGCAATCAGCGACAAGAGCGGACTGAACGGCGACAGCACACCCGTACCAACGCCCATGAACGGCATAGCAAGCTCTCCTGCTCCTATTCCCGCTTGAGGCACGAACGCTCTTGGTCTCATTTCCTTTGATGTACTCCTGCTACAGCCTGCACCTCTTGCGGCTCGGCCTTACTTTATTTCTTGCTACCTGTTTACTATATCGACTTGCTTCCTTTGTCTTGTTTGGCGTTGAGGGAGCGCATTGCATTACTACGTAAAAGGCGCCAACTGGGGCGTCACTGGCTTGCCACGGGCAGCATGGTGTACGGCGCACAAGTATGTTGTGAATGGACGTCACAAATACTGGATACGGATGTGGAATCCGGATAGAGACGGAAAGGGGGCTTTGCATAGCATTATGGAGAGAATTGAATATCTATGTCAAACTACAAGTACTTGTCCATGCATCTTGGGAACCTCGGTAGCGGGTGTCGCAAGCATGCCGTGCCAAAGCACATTAACGTGACAGTGTATCTTCTCGCGCCTTCAGATTGTAGAGTGCCCACTTTTGAAAGCTCATAGTATGATGATTGTCAAGGATGAGCGTGACCTGGATGGCGTTATCGTACCCGTGGATCGCGGGGATCTCCACCGATAGCTCGGCGCATCCAAACCTCCGCCCATGGACCTCATTGACGTACAACCTGCCCAGCACACCTTCGCTAGCTTTCCTGCAGCAAATCCTCCGCTGATGATACCATGAATGCATTTGTGACGATCGCCTCACAGGAGCCCGGGTGCCGTTGATTCTTGCCCTTGCCGTTGGCACCTTCCAGCACAGAGTACCGCATTCACTCGGCGCCAGAGACAGCTAGCCCACGCGTCACTGCGCTGTTGGACGTCTCCAAACCCCGTCAGCGACTACGACCGCCCGCTCGACCATTACTACTCGCGTAGTCTGCGCGTCCGCCCTTTGCGATCGCTTCCAAACGTCCGCCCGAACACGCTGGTAGTTGGCAGCAGCGCCACTATCGACCACTATGAATCCTCGGAGGGACAGCTACGCCAGAGTAGCTGCTGCATCGGCAGGCAGCAATAGCTCATTCCAACAACCCACCCGATCCGGCGCCTTTGCACATCTCGCCAACAGCGGCTCAACATCGCACCCGAACCGCCTCTCTCGCTCCATCGACGCCGACGGCCACATGTCTACAAGTTTCGGAAGGGCCGGTGGGCCACTGCCCTCATACTCCAGCCAGTCTGGCTACTGGCATGGCTTGGGAGGGTCGACACAGGATATACCGCCGTTCTTCGTGCCTTCCTACCTGCGCGGGTCCAAGCACGCCGAGAAGTTACAAGAGGCGCACAAGGCGAAGCTGGCCGCCCAGCGGGAATACAAGTCAACGCACTCGTCCAATGCAGGCTCGCTGTCTACTAGTTCTAGCAGCGTCAATCTGCACAAGATGGCGCCGTCACATCGCGGTCTGACGCATGAGATAGTAGAGCGTGCGCCCGTCTTTGTGGATGAGCCGGTAGCGCCATGGCCAACACGGTGGAATGACGCAGACAGGTTTCCTCAGCTCGAGCTGGAGGATGGTCAGAGGCTGGCCAAGTTCTCGGGCTCACAGAAGACACACGATGAAGCTGCGTCGGTTCGCGCGGACTTTCCCATGCCGCGGCAGTGTGGGATCTACTACTACGAGGTTACTGTCGTTTCTAAGGGGAAAGACGGGTATGTTTGTTTGGCACCTTGTAATGCACACGCTAATTCACAGTGCAGTAGGATGATCGGAGTAGGCTTTTCAGGACCCAAAGTCGCCCTCAGTAGGATACCGGGCTGGGAACCTGACTCGTATGCGTACCATGGCGACGATGGCCAGGTCTTTAGTAATACCACTTCTGGAAAATCATACGGGCCTAAGTTTGGCACGCTGGATGTCATCGGCTGTGGCATCAACTTCCGGACAAATACTGCGTTCTTCACAAAGAATGGCCATATGCAAGGTGAGTATGCGAAATGAGGGATATGGATAGTACTAATAAGTTCAGGGACGGCTTTCCGAGATCTGAAACCCAATATGCCGTACTATCCCACTGTAGGCATGAAGAAGCCCGGCGAGATGGTGCGCGTCAACTTTGGCCAAGAACCCTTCGCTTTCGATATCGACAAGATGGTACAAGACGAGAAGGCCGCCATACAAGCTGAAATTGCCCGGACCAAAACAGAGGCGGGTGCGTTGGGAGGCGAGGATGCGTTGATACATCAGCTGGTGGGACAATATCTGGCGCACGACGGCTATGTAGAGACTACACGAGCTTTCTCGGATGAGATTGTCGAGGAAGCAAGAGCGCTTGCAAACAACGACGAGACAGACGTTTCATACCGAGCAGCAGTGGAAGATCTGGATGCGCTGAACCGACAAAGTAAGCTCGTTCCTCAGGGTACGAATGCATGCTAACAGAACCCAGAGATACGGACAGCAATTCTTGAGGGCGACATTGACAAGGCGCTTAAGCACACCACCGCATACTACCCCTCAGTGCTCCGCGACAACGAAAACATCTACTTCAAACTCCGCTGCCGAAAGTTCATCGAGATGATCCGACGATGCGGAGAGTTGAACGCACAATGCCAATCCGCACCAGCACCATCCTCCAAACGATCCACCGCTTCGAATCCCAACAAGCGCAACTCAACCGCAACAGAAGAATACGATTTCGAAATGGAGCTCGACGAGCAACTAGGCGTACACAACCCACCACCCAGCTGGGACAACAAGGACCAAGACGACTACTTGGAAGTCGGAGACGAGGACGACATGGAAGATAAAGTAGCCAAGAGCGAACGAGCGACAAGCGAAACTATAACATATGGCATGGAGCTGAAATCCGAGTTCGCCAACGACCCAAGACGGGAAGTGAAGCGTGCTCTTGAGGATACGTTTGCGCTTATAGCATATGCGGATGCGCGGGAGAGTGCGCTGGCGCCTTTACTGGAGATTTCGGGGCGTGCGCCTGTTGCTGAGGAACTCAATAGCGCTATTTTGGGTACGTACAGAACCTGAGGTCAAAAGGAGGTCATGTCCTGCAAGGACGGCAAGCCTCTTACGACCTCTCCGCACTTCCACATACTCAGAGAATACATGCTAACTCCCCCACCTAGTCTCCCTCGGCAAATCCTCCTCCGCGGCCCTCGAACGCCTAATCCAACAAACCGAGGCCCTCGTCACCGAACTCGCTGACGACGGCGGGCCTGGCGCTTTCATCAACGTTCAACGCGATTTCCTACAGTAGTATTGGTTTGAGTTCCTGGTTTGAGCGGGGAAGGATGTGGGTAGGGATGGGAAAGATGAGGAGATAAGGAAACTCGGACGGAGGGCGGGTATGTTGCGTTTTTCGGATGGGGGGCTGTGATATCACTATCTCTTTTTGGGGTTTTGTCCTTTTGAGCAGATGAATCAGGAGCATTTGCATAGCTGAGGCTGAAGGCGTGGAAGGCGTTGTTTTCGGCCCGACTGACTAAGATTGGGAGGATATCAACATCACTACTCTCTTGCTCTGTTTTCTGTAATCTACTAGCTGGCATCTCAGGTCTGAAATGAAATTAGGAAGCCATCCATATCTCATCATATGAACCCTTGTCTTTCGAGCAGCTGCATTCCGTCACGTCGTCCCTCACAACGGCCACCACCACTTCTTCTTCTCTCCGTCCCCGCTCCTATTCTCTTCTACCTTTTTGCCCCCCTTACCTCCACCCTTCCCCTCCTCCAATTTATCAAAAAACACAACCATAATCGTAGTATCATCCACCGCATTCCTACTCAACGGCTCCGGCCCCGCCAAAACCCCCAAAAACAACCCCCTCCTATTCCCACCCATCGCATTCCTCGCCAAACAAACCGCCGCATTCTCATCCTCAATCGCAAAATACTCAGGCTCCGCTTTCCAATCCACGTCTTCGCCGGCCGCGGGGTCGCACGTCACACCCGGGTCCAAGCTAGAGAAGTTTTGAGGGAAAACGGGAGGGTTGCGCAGGAGTTCCGGGTCGGCCTTCACAGAACCCTGGCCACGGGCGCGCGCGGAGAGATAGCGGGACACGCACTCGACGGCGTGTTCAGACGAAATCCGGTCCCAAAGACCGTCGGAAGCGAGGATGAGGAAATCGCTTTTCCCCCCTTCTGCCCTACCATCACCACACAGCATCCCATCGCGCGGCTCCCTCCTCACAACAGCCGTTTCCTGCACCTCAGGCTCCGCCGTCATATACGGGGGACTCAGATTCCCCGGTCTGGGCGCCGTACCCCAGAATTTGTGCTGGCACGCTTTGATAGTCTCGTTATCCCATTTCCAGCGGTGGTCGCCGAAGCCGCGGGTTACGGCTATGCCTAGCATGCGGCCTGTTTTGGGGTCTATGACGGAGGGTTCGTCGGGGTGTTGCTTGCTTAGTCTTTCTACTTCCTTAGCGTTGGAGCCGGTTTGGTCTTCCGAGAGGGGGATTGCCGTGTAGGAGGATGTGGAGGGGTCCCAGCGGCCGAGGACGGCGCGGGAGTCTCCTGTGCAGGCGACGCGGAGTTTGTTGGACTGGGGATCGAATGCAGCGAGTAGCGCGCAGGACCCCGAGAAAGCGGGTGTGAGCGCGGCGATGGCGGCGGCGTTGGCGGCGGGGAACCAGGCTGCGGCTGTTTTGGCGCGGGACATGATACTTTTGTCGGTGGCGAGGAAGGCGGTTTTTATGCTGCTTTCGATTTGGTGGCTGGAGGCGTGCGGTGTTAGGGTGCTGAGCGCGGAGGATACCATGGGGATTAGTGTCCATTGGAGGTAGAATGCCGTGTGTCGTCCTGCATGCCCATCTAGTACAGTCCAGTAATTCCACAGGTTCTGCCCGGGGCCAGGCGACGTTCCTAGTGCGAAGAAATCCTCACATGGCTCGTTGCTGCGGAACCGACAGCCGTGTGTTATGGGCATTTGCACGTCTGGCATGCCTTCGACGCCCTTCTTTGAATCATCGGGCGTCATCATCCATCCGTAACATAGCTTGTCGAATTGCTCTGAGAAGAACTTCGCTACGGCGGGGTCTTTCATCGGGGCGCTGGGGTCTGGGATGTGGAAGTCGAGGATGTGTTGGACTTCTTCTTTCGAGGAGTAGAAGTGGAGGGGTTGGGCGAGTTGGGAGGCATCGTCGCCGGTTTCGAAGGCGCCGTAGACGCTGTCTGTCCAGTCGGTTTCTACTATGTCGACGAAGTAGTATGCTAGGCCGCCTAGGGTGAGGAGTACAAGGACGGTTTTGGTTGGGAAGCGTGATTCTAGGAGTGTGGTTGTGGGGTCCTTGGCTGGTTGGTTCCATCGCGGGTTGAAGAGGGTAGTGTCTCTTCCATTGGTTCTTGAACTCTTGGGCTGGGTTTGTAGGAGTCTTGTCTGCGAGAGAGCACGTGATAACGGACTTGAATGAACGCGTGCTGTGTGTGGCCGTAAAGCACGGGTCGTCACCGCGAGTGGCCTCTGTAACCGCGTTTGAGGCTGTGCTTTACCGGCGCATTTGAGCCGTACGGCGCTTCCCAACCTTCTTGGAATCATTTTACCTACAGTGTTCCCTGTATCGCAAGATGGGTGAGATGTGTTCTGCTTCTTTCGCGTTGTGGAGCTTAGATTTGATGGTCTGTGCACACGCTAGTTTGATCGCCCTTTCACGTGGAGCAGTAGGGCAGGTGCTTGGCACGAGAACAATGAGTCCAGAAAAACATGCACTGGCTTATGGTGGCAAGATCTTTGTGGTATACAAGCTGTTTGTTGCTCTCAGCTTGATCACCATAGATGATTCTAGTCAGAATTCGTCGCTCCATGGTCATCGGTAGTGGGTTTTACGACTTTAGTGATGAAAAGATAGTTGCTAATAATAGGCTATGGTAAGGATTGGGTATCGTCGTTACTTGCTTGTGCAACTCATGAAAGCCATAAGGATCCAAAACGCCTCCCAAAACCAAAGGGAAACATCAAGTACGCCACGTATACGCCGACAAGAGTGATGTTGGTGGCCAGCAGCTCATTAATCTGACCGGACGAGTATAAGCAACAGTCTTGATGTGTAGTTCTGATACAGTTCCATCTTTCTTCGGACACCGATGCCTTGTATTAATTCCCGGATGCTTTCGTACGATACACCGACCAGGAATCGCAGCGTCCAGCCTCCTCTCCATCTCCGTGTGTAGCAATAGACGTCGGACTTTGAGATGTTCGGAACATTTGGTATGAGGTGAAGGTCACATCTCTGTCCAGTGTACATCCTCTATACGGTCGACCTCTTCGTACTCTCGCTTCTTCTTCTCCTTTTTCTTTGCGTTCGTGTTCTTACGCCGGAGCATCAACTTCATCTTGTTTGCCAGTTTCCCGAAGGCGGCCGCCGTGGGTGTGCTGGCTGTCGGCTGAGGTGATGTAACATCACCCTGTGGAATGTCTTCGCTCTTCGGGGGGAAATCTTGTTGTGATAGGCTTGCTAGCTTGATCGCGTGGGGGCGATTGACGTAGCTCGCCTGCTTAGTAGGGTGCGATGAAAGCGATGTCTGTGATGAAATCTCCTTGGCAGAGGAGACCGGTTCTTTGGACTGAGCTCTGACGGTGCTGGCTTTGGGCTTTGGTGGGGCCTTCACAGGCAGTGGTTGTAACATGCGCCATACTGGCTCAGTAGGGCTGGAGGGCTCAGAAGACGAGGACATGGGACGGACTAGGACCACCGATGAGTCGTCCCACTGGTGGTCCATCCTTGGTGAGTAGGCTGGCGTCGACGGCTCCGAGTCGATGAAGGTGCCGAAAGACTTTGCTGACATAGGTGGGGGAGACATTGGTCCCAGGGATTGTGGTGTCATAGGAGTGTGTACAAGAGCTGGAGGAGGATAGCTCTTTGTGGACTTTGCGGAGAAACGATGTGGTCGTTCGGGTGACATTGTACGCGGCTGCTTTGGCAGCCCGTGAGTGGAGAGCGGTCTGTGGATGCTGGCACCCAATGAACCCGAGCCCAGGCTAGGCGACGGCACCGACAGTGTAGCCATGTCTATGGGTGTGACAGTGCCAAGTTAGGGACAAGCTTTTCAATGAAGGTAGTAATCTTAAATCGCGGAGGCGTTGTGTGATAGTGCGAACGAGACGCACGATACGAAAAGAAGCGCGGGAAAGGCGGCGGCGAAGGATGTAAAAGAAGGCGGCACCCGTAGACACGTAAGTACCGAAAGGAGAGTATTGCGGCGTAGCAACGAGACCGGTCAACTGGGTAAATCAGACGGCAGAGGAGACCAAAGCTGCGCCCCCAAACGAAACAGAACGATAACAGAGGGCTGAAAGCGGTACAACCTATGATCTGCAGGCTACACTTTTGTTATATGAATGCACCACACACGCGTCATCCGCGCCGCGACGGTGCGTACCACACCGTTTACAGCTGACAGATCTATCTGCGCATTCCTGCTACTGAGGTGGCAATGTGGGACTACGCCCGTTGGTCTTAACGCGTGTCAAGACTCGAGAGCCGCCTGTCCTGACCCCGCCGTCGCGACATGGCACGGAAAGCTCCTAAAGGATGAAGGACGTTGGATATGCGGCTAAGTAGGGAATGATTGGCGACCCAACTCGCGGGGGCGCTAAAGTTAGCGCTTCATTGGCTGACGGCGGACAACTTGCATCAACCACGCCGCAATTCATATAGAGCAGCGCCTGCAGGATAGGAAGTGCCAACAACGGGGACCCGGGGGGTGGACCAACATCGGGTGCTGTCCTGAACGGCTGGGATCTGCTGTCGTGGTTCGGTCTCGACGCAAGGCGGCTCACAGCCCCCATTCGCTCAACTTTGTTGCATGGTCTAGCGAATCAGCGCGACGAAGCACCTTTTCAGCCTGCGAGCCCCTTCACCTAAGCATGACCGCTGCCCGTTTCGAGGTGTAGGTAAGTTCCTCGGACCTGATGTCAGACCACAAGAAGAAGGCGTTCTTGTGTGTGGTTCGCTGCCCTGAAGCTCCTCCAGTTCTCGTTCCCGAGGCGCTCAGCCTAGAGCTAGGATCATGAGTTCGCTGATCAGAGTTGGCCCCCAATGCCTGAGTGGTCGAAGGTCACGCCAAACCTGTCCACCATGACGACCTAGAACTTAGGGCAGTGTCCGGCGCGTCTGATGAAGGACGACTGCGCCGCAATATCGAGGATGTTGAAAAGTGGGTATGGCCCATCTTGCTCGCGGCAGAAACCGTTGTGCAGTGTTGTGTAACACCCATAAGCGCCGTGCGAGGTTGATCCATGCAGGCTACTGGTGGGAGTGTACGAATGCCATACCAGTTGTAGACACAGTCGTGCGTCAAAGAGCCTTTTTAGATTAACCCGATGCGCGTCCGTGAGGGGTCATGGTAAGCGATGAGATTGTTGCAGATTGCTCTTGAGCCGTTCGGGTAGTTGATAGGAAATGTTGCGTGTCGCAGTCATCGCAGGCCGCGGGACAGACGCTCGGGCCGCCAGCAGGGTCAGGATCGCCGAGACGAGGTCCAAGAAGAAACCGCATGCAGGTGAAGCTTGACTGCCAACGGCTATTGACCGAGATAAGTCGATCCTACGTGTTGTTGCATCGGCCCTTTGAGCGGGGAGCAGGAACTTGGAAGACGCCCGCGGGCGGGTCGCCAAGGAACTTTCTGCGTCGGGACCACCCTCAACAGCCGCCGTCAGACCCTCCCTCCCTTCCAGCTTGCACATATGTCTCCATTGAACTTCACCTGACCATGCAAGACTACCTGTTTGTCTGCGCATGACTTGCCCTCTGGATGCAGCCAACACTCCGTGTGGGACGTCTACAATGTTGGATTTGCACCTGATCACCCTACATACTGCCGTGAATTGGACCGTCTATCGCTGTTGATTCTCTCTCACTAGTGAGAATCACATGGAGACTCGGAGCTTGCATCAGATGAGATGCGATTGCTCTTCGTTTCCTGGATTAGGCGAGCCTGTGTGGACGTAGGTAAGATGAGCAAGAGGAAGTCTAGGACGTCTCAGGAGCGAGGTTCCGATTCGCATACTGTCTCCTTCCATCTTTGTGTCAACTATACTTCTTTCACAAGATGAGTGGCTTTTCCGTCGAATTTACCCTGGTCTTGTTGTCTCATGGGTGTCACCCCTCATGCCAGCACCAATTCGCTGACACTCATCATTCCCTGAAGCCGATGTGAGGATTAATCTCATGCTCTGTGATCAACCATACAGCTGGGCGACAACACAGTCGGTCATCTTCCACACGACAGTTGTGTCACGTCCTTAGATTCCAACGCCAGTCTTCCTGAAGTCCATAGTGTTCAGCCTTGTCTCAGCGCATTGCGAATTCGGATCATTGACAGCGAGTCCTCCGACATCGCAGGTCCTTACACGTCCGCTGAACATGCTTTACAACTGGACTCAGACTTCATGCAGCAAATTGCCAGACTTTACGCTTCTCGTCATGTGCGAAGGTGACAACATCCCGCTCGAAGCAGTAAGTCCCTCCAGGAGATTGCACAGTTTGTCGAAAGATGCTCAGCTGACATTGAGGGTACAGACCGGCAAGAAGCCTCTCGAACTGCGTTCTAAATGACGAGAATGCTACCGCACGCTCCGGTCGGACGGTCTCAACCAGACTTTACAAGATATACGAGAGCGCAGCTGCTCTCGTCGAAAGAAATAAAGGCGAGATCATGGAAGAAAACTCAACCGACATCCTCAGAAACCTACACTCCACCGGTGTTTCAAATACTGAGATAGCGCTGAAAGTCCAGGAAAACACAAGACCATTATTTCACCTTATCATGGAATGCTCTTTTTCGCATCGACTCACGTTCATCTCAAGTGGATTCAGCACTGCTTGAACCTTGAGAGAAGTTGTACGCGTGGTAGACCCTGACATCTTCTCCCCCTCTTTCAATCTTCCTCTACTGTCCGCTAATGGCCGCGCAATCGCTCAATTGGGACGTCACCCAGCGATATCGACTCCTCTTCACGCTCACATTCACCTTCACTTTTGACGTCAGTGCGCAAGCTACCTTTTGGTCACTATCGCAGTTTGACAAACGCCGTCACGTCGTCTACGTACCAACACGTCTATATCCGCGTCTCTTTCTCAGCGCCATCTCCATTCCCTTCCCTTCCCTTTGAACGCACACGTATCCGCCGCGCCGAACTCAAAACATGGATTTCCCGCACGCGCAGATGCAAGCGACGCTGGCAGCGACCAACTTCTCGCCAAAATCAGTACCGTCGCTATACCCTCAGCTTGCCAAGTCACAGAAGAATTTGCATCGCAAAGACAGCTTCGTTCCGAAACCTCCCAAAGTGCAGGAGAACACTAGCGATAATGGCGACGACCAAGCACAGCGCCAGGCTTTTCGCAAGAGTAGCATCAAAAACTTTGGTAGTCTCTTCGCGCGCAACCGCAGCAGTATCGCTAGTACTAGCCCATTGACGCAGGTCATGAGCTCCGAGTCCGAGGGCAGAGACACAAGCGTTGAGACCGAGCGCGCAAGTCAGCAGACCACACTCGTCAGCTCGGACATTCCGTCTCCTAGTAATATCATGACTGTTGCCGAGAGAGAAAAGATCCGCGAGCGTCGTACGTACCCTCGACCTCCACTCCAACCCTAAACTAACAAGTCCCTAGACCGAAAGTTTGTGAAGCTCCAAGGCCTCGGACACGACCACCCTACCGTCTTCACCGCCGACCCAGGTGACTACTCTCAATATGACTACGACGATAGCGTCGATAATCGGCGCTTCAGAGACGAATGTGGAGAATGCGAAGGCACACACGTCGCCCACGACCTTGCGAGTCCCACACCGAGCAGCCGCCACCGTCGCAACGAGTCCCTGCACGTCAACTTCAGTCAAGAAGAAGTGAAGAAATACGCCGACGAAGTCCGCAACATGACCATCGCAGACGTCCACCTCTCTCTCTTCGGCTACTGGATCAAGGAGAGCGACGAGCACTTCCAGGAGGCCAAGAAATATCTGAGAGAGCTAGGTCTTGATCGCGTGAGTCTCCATTCGGCACCCGTTGTATGAATATGGTCGGCTAATGTGAATACTGAATAGGGCTACAACCTCTCCCGCCTCAACAACTTCTGCCTCGAAGAACTCTGCCGCGACGTCCACGACATCCGCCCCTCGTACGCTAAGCCCACTTCACAAATCCTCCTCCATAGATGCGCACGCATTGGGAACTTGCGTTGTCCGGGCACGACCTGGTGTCACGCAATGTTCTAGATGCCTCTGCCATGTCTCTCCCTCCCTCGTCTCACTACCACCTACCTTCTCGCCCATGTCTACTACTACTAGCAGCGTTTCATAACCATCCAGAATACCACCCATATTCTAGATACACATGTCATAGCTGCAGTCACACATTACACAAACTAACATCTGCTTCTTACGTCTAGTGAATCCCGTACCACGATCCTCAAGCGACAAGCTGCCGCCGACACGCCCACACATGGGGGCACTACGACGCCTACACGTTCTTTCTCGTCGCCAGTTAGTCCGCGGATCGACAAGTTGCCGCCTTCACTTCACCTTCAGCGAGAAAAAGTGATAGAATCACAAGCGTTGAGGTCGACATCCCTTGGTTCACCTGGTGGACGAGGCGATTACCCACCTAACAGTATGCTACATCCCCGTCAACCCCTCATAAACTTCATGTTGACTGACAACGTCAGCGCCCGAC